GGATCATATTGCTAAACTGTTTCTCAGTTTACATTGGTATGCACAGTACCATTTACACCAAACTCTGAACATTGCCCTGTGTTTCTAGATGTTGAACTGGATTGGACCAGGGGTCTTCTTTTACCCTCAAACTTTATTCAAAAGAATCCAAAATTCCAGTGATTTCCACGAGTACCAACACATTTACATTTAGTGAAAAATAGTGATACCACAATTCTAGTCAAAGTCAAGAGTCGTCAGAATTCCTCAGAAATTGATTTAGTTTTAGGAAGAAAAAGACTGGCCCTATCGGCCGAACTAATAAAAAAAGTCAGAGTTTTCTGAATCTGGCCAAACAAAATTGAAGAACCCTGGACAGAGCCAGGTATCAACGAAATGAAATCAATGTCCTGATGCATATATCAAACCTGAAAAGAACTCTTGCTTGAACAGAATCTGCAGTTTGGACCCACCTGATCAGCAAGCAGCAGACAGTAACTTTAACATATTAATCACCCGAACTGAAATTACATTGCCGGCTAGCATTCATTTTGCTGATAAAATTGTTAGAGTTGTGTCGAATAATGTGTACAAGGTAGGTTACAGTTGGACTCTGAGTAGTATTGTGTTTAGATAGGATATGGAGTCGTGTCCTAATAGGACACTTGTATCCTAGGCCTCTCATATATAGTGGGGCTAGACACACAATGTAACCTATGCCAACATAATAGCACAGGCGCGCAAGGGGGAGCCGGCGGCGTGTACCGGCGCCCGGGTGGCCAGCGTGCGGTATTGTGACGGTGTCATGGGGAGGAGCGCCCATAGTCAAGCCCGGGGATGTAGCCATATTGATGAATCTCGTTAACAAATCTCGGTGTCGTGCTCGTGTGATTGCTTGGTCCTCGGATGATCAACGGTATGCCTCAGACTTATTCTAACAAGTGGTATCATGAGCTAGGTCGTCTGAAGGTTGTGGATTGTTGATTTAGAGAAAGTATCGAGTCTGATATGCAGCCGTCTGCGATGTGGTTCTCAGCAAGATTGGAAAAAGTATGTCAGTGGAAGGCACATGTGCAAGTATGCAAGCAGTTGAGAGTTGAGACGTACGGTGATCGGTAGTCGATCGGGCGAGCTTACAGGCAACATCGCGTGCATGAAGCGGCGGCGGCGGAACGTGTAAATTCTCGGCGAGATCGGATCGATTCGATCCGTGCGTGGTACACGCAAACGTCCACGCGTAGGAAGCAACAGCGGAGGCTGCGGCCAGGCGGGGCGGTGCGAGGCGATACGGTCCAAGGCCTAGTCGGACGCTGGGCAGGTGGCCGCTTGCTGGTCCATGGCCGGCTGATGTGGAGGCTGCTAGGTGCATGAGAGATGAGGCTGCGTGCGTACAAGCTGAAGCGAGGATTTGTTTGAGACAAAAAGAAGAAGCAACCAGGACCACGTGTTGCACGGGAGCAGTTTAGAGGGGTCAAGTTTGATCTATTTTTTCTGCTATGAGGTGCACGGAGAAGCAACAAGTAAATAGTGACAGGAAAAAAGAACATCTGTGTAGTTCGCATGGAAGTTTTTTCAGGGTCGGTTTGCTAATATGGCTTGGAACACGTGGACAGGCTGCGGAGGCGCGCGGATAAGTGTGTCATGCAGGGTTATGCATAAACATGGCGTCTAAGACATGCACAGATGTGTGGGTGGACACGACGCAGGATGGAGCATGGTTGCAATTGGATATGTTCGACTAGGTCAGACTGGACAGTCTGATGGATTGGCGCAGGTCGGTTGGTACAGAAGACAGTGGTTGGATCGGCGAAGATGACGTAGGAGCGTGATGCTGATGGTGACCGACTTCTGGGGCGTGGAAACACGTGGCGCAGGCCCCGAGGGCTTGTGCGGCTTCGACAAGACTATGATGCGGGATTGATTCAAGGTGGTGTATACACGGAGCTTGAAGTCGATGAGGCGCGAGGGTGGACTGATCATCTATCATGGAGTCATGTTGAAGGTGGGGCTGGATTGAGGGGCTACGATGTAAGGATCCAGGGAATCAAAGCCTATTCAGCAAGTGGGAAAAGCGAGTGACACGCAGTTCAGACTGGAACCCAGTGGTCTGATGGAAGCATGAAACTCGTCATCGGTCGGTGATGATCGATGGTACTCTGCAGTGGGGGTTGAGTGGTGTGGTTTCGTTACCCTTGAGACTCGACCGGGACAGCGGAGACTCGACGCGGCAATAGCGGCGAGGCGTGCGGCACACATGGGACATGGAGACGGGCCAGGGTTCTGGTGGTCATACATGTAGTGAGACAACTGCGAATTTGACTCGGGGTGACTACAAGCAACGGTGAAATTCCTTCATGTTTCAGACAGGCGGTCAAGAAAGGAGCGGTGATGTTGAGTTTAGGTAACTCTTACGTGTGATATCCAATACGTGAGTTGTTCACTTTCACGCAGGTCAGTGATCAATGTGTGATGCCGTGGATGGATACTCTGGAAGTTGGAGCACAAACTAGAGTAACAAGAAACTTAATTTTGCTCGAGTGTTGACCGTGGTCAAGAAAAGAAAGGACTACAAATTGCAGGTGGAGTCACATGGAGTCTTTGGAGTAGTAGCGGTACTCATGGGATAAGCTCAAGTCCAATGTAGATGGAGGTTTGACGCATTGACAAATTCAGGGTGGTGGAGAATATTCGCCAAGGTGGAGTTTGTTAGAGTTGTGTCGAATAATGTGTACAAGGTAGGTTACTGTTGGACTCTGAGTAGTATTGTGTTTAGATAGGATATGGAGTCGTGTCCTAATAGGACACATGTATTCTAGGCCTCTCATATATAATGAGGCTAGACACACGATGTAACCTATGCCAACATAATA